GTTGGGTCTTTCGCCAGGCTAATTCTTTTTTTCAAACCATCCTGTGGTGTTGGGTCCTCGTTTTGAAGAGACGGTGCCCCGCGTCTCCTCTCCTTCCTCCTCTGCCCCCTCCCCCCTCCTCCCCCTCCGCGTCAGCCACGCCCACTTCGGCACACCCCTCGCACGCTTCGTGGCCCCATAAGGAGCTCCACCGAGGGCTCCAGTGGCTGCGTTCGCATGGCGGCACCGCGCCCATTTCGGCACACCCCTCACATGCTTCGTGGCCCCATAGGGAGCTCCACCGAGGGCCCCAGTGGCTGCGTTCGCATGGCGGCACCGCGCCCAATTCGGCACACCCCTCACGCGCTTCGTGGCCCAGTAGGGAGCTCCACCGAAGGCCCCAGTGGCTGCGTTCGCATGGCGGCACCGCACCCATTTCGGCACACCCCTCACACGTTTCGCGGCCCCATAGGGAGCTCCGCCGAAGGCCCCAATGGCTGCGTTCGCATGGCGGCACCGCGCCCATTTCGGCACACCCCTCACACGTTTCGTGGCCCCATAGGGAGCTCCACCGAAGGCCCCAATGGCTGCGTTCGCATGGCGGCACCGCACCGGCACACCCCTCACACGTTTCGTGGCCCCGTAGGGAGCTCCACCGAGGGCCCCAGTGGCTGCGCTCGCATGGCGGCACCGCACTCATTTCGGCACACCCCTCACACGTTTCGTGGCCCCATAGGGAGCTCCACCGAGGGCCCCAGTGGCTGCGTTCGCATGGCGGCGCCGCACCCCTTTCGGCACACCCCTCACACGTTTCGTGGCCTCATCAGGAGCTCCACCGAGGGCCCCAGCGGTTGCGTTCGCATGGCGGCGCCGCACCCACTGCGGCCGCCACGAGGTCGGGAACGGCAAGAAGGAGGACGACGACTGGTGGCTGGAGCTCTACGTGCTGCTCTCGCGCGCCATGCGCCACGAGGACCTCCTGCTCACGCGGGCGCCGCGTATCGAGTTCTTCCTGGCCGGGCCTCCGGAGGGCTTGCGTAAGCAGCTGGAGCAGTTTGCGGCGCGCACGAAGCGGTGCAGGAGGGGGGCGACGGCCCTCGCCAGGGAGCTCGGCTTCACAAAGTTTATCCGCGAGGCCTGACCCCAGGGGCGTCCCGCCCCAGCCGCGCCTTCTCTTGGCTGTCCGACTGCTTGGCCTCGCGCCGCGGGCGACTCGCGCGCGTCGCTGGGACCCTCTCGGGGCGATCAGCGCGCGTCGCGCAAATTCCGCGCTGCGCTCTGCCCAGCGCCTCGCCCGCCCTTCGCCGCTTTTCCAGCGGCCAGAGCCAGGCGCGCTATGAGTCAGCCAGCAAGCACTGTCTGCCTTGCACAGCGGACAAACCGCGCGCGTCACTGTGACCCCTTCGGGGCGACCTGCGCGCGTCACGAGGACTCCGCGTTGCGCTGCGCCCGCAGCCTTGGACTTTGGAGTGCGCGGGCAAAGAGGAGGGAACATGAGGAGATGAAGCGGGCGCGCTCCTCGGTGGGGCGTGCCGACATGGGCGTCGCGGCGCGCGGGCGCTGCCGTCGGGGTTCCCAGGGGCGCTCCCTGCGGAGGCTACATTCAGTGTCGCGACTTCACACTCGGAGACATTTACACTAGGCGTATCCATGCTCGCAGTCATACAAATAGAATCAATCGCACGCAGACTCATTGATAATCAGACCCACTCGCGCTCAGACTCACCCGCGCTCAAGATGGCATATTCAGGCCGATCGTCTTCCGTTTCGTCTTCCGTTTGTATCGTGTACCCGGCCACACATGCCGGCACCCCCCTCACACGGTTCGTGGCCCCGTAGGGTTCGCCACCGAAAAAGATGTTCACAAGAGCGGTACTCACAGCTGCATACGGTTGGGTCCTTCGCCAGGTTAATTTTTTCCCAACCCTTCTCGGTTGGGTTCTTGTTTTGAAGAGAGCAGCGGGGTCGCGTCTCCTTCCTTCTCCTCCTCCTCCTCCTCCTCTCCTCCCTCCTCCTAATGTGTTGGGTTCTCGTTTTGAATAGAGTACCGCCTGCGCTTCTCCTTCCGCTCCCGCCCCCCTCCTCTCCCCTCCTCCCCCTCGCGGACTCAGGGAGGCTGCGATCTGCGAAATTGTTACTACTTGGGCTGCTAGGGAGGCCAGCAGAGAGGGCACCCACCGCAGACCAGAATAATAGCGCGCCATACATGGGGGGCTGCGATCGGCGAAACTGCCGCCACTTTCGAGGGTTGCTGGGGAGGCCAGCAAAGAGGGCACTCACCGCAGACCAGAATAATAGCGCGCCATCCCTGGGGGGCTGCGATCTGCGAAGCGGTTGCCACTCTCGGGGGTTGCGGGGGAGGCCAGCAGAGAGGGCACTCACCGCAGACCAGAATAATAACGCGCCATACGTGGGGGGGGGGGAGCTGCGATCTGCGAAACTGTTGCCACTTTCGAGGGTTGCCGGGGAGGCCAGCAGAGAGGGCACCCACCGCAGACCAGAATAATGGCGAGCCATCCCTGGGGGGCTGCGATCTGCGAAACTGTCGTCAGTTTCGAGGGCTGTTGGGGAGGCCAGCAGAGAGGGCACTCACCGCAGACCAGAACAATAGCGCGCCATACATGGGGGGGGGCTGCGATCTGCGAAACTGCTGCCAGTTTCGAGGGCTGCTGGGGAGGCCAGCGGAGAGAGTACTCACCGCAGACCAGAATAATAACGCGCCATACCTGGGGGGTTGCGATCCGCGAAACTGTGGCCACTTTCGAGGGCTGCTGGGGAGGCCAGCAGAGAGGGCACTCACCGCAGACCAAAATATTGGCGCGCCATCCCTGGGGGGGTGCGATCTGCGAAACTGTTGCCACTTTCGAGTCTCTCCTCCCTTCCCCTCGCGGATTCAGAGGGGGTTGCGATCTGCGAAATTGCTGCCGCTTTCGAGGGCTGCTGGGGAAGCCAGCAGAGAAGGCATTCACCGCGGACCAGAATAATGGCGCGCCATCCTTGGGTTCTGCGATCTGCGAAACTGTTGCCATTTTCGAGGGTTGCTGGGGAGGCCAGCAAAGAGGGCACTCACCGCAGACCAGAATAATAGCGCGCCATCCCTGGGGGGCTGCGATCTGCGAAACTGTTGCTACTTTCGAGGGCTGTTGGGGAGGCCAGCAGAGAGGGCACTCACCGCAGACCAGAATAATAACGCGCCATACGTGGGGGGGGGGCTGCGATCTGCGAAGCGGTTGCCACTTTCGAGGGTTGCTGGAGAGGCCAGCAGAGAGGGCACCCACCGCAGACCAGAATATTGGCGCGCCATCCCTGGGGGGCTGCGATCTGCGAAACTGTCGTCAGTTTCGAGGGCTGCTGGGGAGGCCAGCAGAGAGGGCACTCACCGCAGACCAGAATAATAGCGCGCCATCCCTGGGGGGCTGCGATCTGCGAAACTGTTGCCATTTTCGAGGGCTGCTGGGGAGGCCAGCGGAGAGGGCACTCACCGCAGACCAGAATAATAACGCGCCATCCCTGGGGGGCTGCGATCTGCGAAACTGTTGTCACTTTCGAGGGCTGCTGGGGAGGCCAGCAGAGAGGGCACTCACCGTAGACCAAAATATTGGCGCGCCATCCCTGGGGGGCTGCGATCTGCGAAACTGTTGCCACTTTCGAGGGCTGCTGGGGAGGCCAGCAGAGATGGCACTCGCCGCAGATGAGAATAATAGCGCGCCATCCCTGGGGGGCTGCGATCTGCGAAACTGTTGCCAATTCGAGGGCTGCTGGGGAGGCCAGCAGAGAGGGCACTCACGGCAGATCAGGATTAGAGCTCGCAATTCCTGGGGGGCTGCGATCTGCGAAACTGTCGCCACTTTCGAGGGCTGCTGGGGAGGCCAGCAAAGAGGGAGACCTCGCCATCCCTGGGGGGCTGCGATCTGCGAAACTGTCGCCACTTTCGAGGCCTGCTGGGGACCTCAGCCCTCGCCATCCCTGGGGGGGTGCGATCTGTGAAACTGTCGCCACTTTCGAGGGCTGCTGCGGAGCCCAGCGGAGGTACGTCTTACGGGGGATTCAGATTTGACCTCGCCATCCCTGGGGGGCTGCGATCTGTGAAACTGTCGCCACTTTCGAGGCCTGCTGGGGAGCTCAGCCCTCGCCATCCCTGGGGGGGTGCGATCTGTGAAACTGTCGCCACTTTCGAGGGCTGCTGCGGAGCCCAGCGGAGGTTCGTCTTACGGGGGATTCAGACTAGACCTCGCCATCCCTGGGGGGCTGCTTCAGCGCCTTGCTGGAAAAAAACGTGGTCTTCTTTCTCGCCTCACCTCTTTCGTCGTGGTCCTCTTCCCCTTGTAACGTTCTCTCTGCTGCTGCGGCTTTCCTTGCCCCTCGTCCTCACCCCCGTCCTTCTTCGAGCGTAGACCCTACAATCTCGTCCATCTGATCGTTACCCTCTGGGTCGTGCAATATATGCGCACCCCATCTAGCGCGCACATACACACATCGCGCTTGCACCGTCGTTCTTCACGACGATACTCGCCGATTCATCGGGCCACTTGATGCAAATGGGTTGGGTACGTCGCAGGATGATTATTAAGTCGACCCCAGGAGGTCTCGACCCATTCCCCTGGACCAGTTTTCATCCTGAATCGTTTTTTGACGGTCCCGAGGGCCGGTAAAGGCCCTTAGAGGCTTGAAATAGTAAAAAACCTCCCGCCATGATTTTTTCATTGCCCGAGGGGGTCTGGGTCTCTCGACCTCTCACCATCCTGGGGCCCAGCTTCGCGCATCACGGGCCGTCTGCCCCGACGACCCGGGGCACGGGAAAACGACGAGAAGCTTTGCGGCAGAGAGCGGGAAGACGACGCGGTCGACGGACGCACGACGGGCGACTGACGGGCACGACGAAGGCGCGCAGCGGGACAGGAGGGGGGGGAGGAGGAGGACGACGAAGTCGAGGACGAGGAGGAGGAGGAGGAGGAGGACGAGAAGGTGAGGGAGGAGGAGGAGGAGGAGGAGGCGGAGGGGGAGGGGGAGGAGGAGGGGAGGAAGAGGGGAGAAGGAGGGCCAGTCGGGAGCGCCCGCTTCCGTGTGGCTGCGATCGGTCTCCGCGCGCTCTGCTCTTAGGCTGGCCGAGATTCGGGGACGCAGCGCGCCACGGAGCTAGTGAGTGAAGGGGGTGGGGGGCGCCCGCGCCCGTCCGCGAAGAACACGGCGCCGGGGCCTGCGCGCCGCCACCCCCGGGCCGGGGTTACAGGCGTGGGCCGGCCCCGGCCCACACTGAGCTCCCGGAGCGCGACCGCGCACGAGGGCATTCTCCTTGCCTGGGCAGCGGCGAGTTGCCGCCCCGCTCCGGCGATGGCGGGGCTGGAAGGAGGGGGGGGGGGACCTAGAGATCCGACGCTCCGAAAGAGTTTGGGCGGGCGGTTTTTGTCCGGTTTGGCCTCTGGGGGCCCTTGCCAGGCCTCGGGAGTTCATAAAATAATTCGGGGCGAGATACCGACCCTTATGGAAGTGGTCTCGCCCTCCGGAACCCACGCATCGAAATAATCGGGGCAGCCAGGATGTCTGGGGAGGTAATTCATTCCAGGCTTCCGGATCAGAGGCAATGTCGAGGGGGGGGCTCGGGGAGGCCGAAATTCGTTTTTTTTTTGGGGGGGGTGCCGCTTTTCCGGGGTCCCCGGCCTTGTAAAAATATATAAATAGGAATAATATATATATATATATATATATATATATGTATATGTATATGTATATGTATATATATATATATATATAGATATATACTCTCCTCTTCCTGTATTTTATAAGCCCGGGCGGGGGGGAACCCCCTCCCCCCAAAACTGGGCTCCCGGGGTCTGGAGCTTGGGGGCCCTCCGGACGGGCTCGAAGCGGCCCCCCCGGCCTCGCAGGGCGTTTTGCCAAGCCTTCCCAGCACACCTAGGGCGATCATGGGGGGTCATCGGAGACGCCCCAGGGACCCCCAAGACAGCACAGGAGCGCTCCAAGAGTGACCGACGTGACCTCAAGATGGCCCAAGAGGCCTCCAGGACGGCCCCAAAGAGGCCTCCAAGAGCACTCCCAAGAAGGCCCCAAGAGGCACAAATCATTGATTTTCTGTTGGTTTTTGGTGAATTTTGAGGTTATCCTCTTTTCGGCTTCCCGAAGCTCCAAGACGGCGGTCTTCTGGGCGTCCGAAGCCGCCTGGGAGGGTCCAAAATCGCCCCACAACCATCCGAAAGGCCTTCCAGGCAGTCCAAGAGAGCCCCAAAACGGCACAACACGGGTCCAAGATGGCCTTCAGAGAGCCCCATGGCGGCCCAAGATGGCCCCAAGACACCCTCTGAAGCATTCCAAGTCGTGACCCGGTCGTTCAGGGAGACCGCGGTTGGAGGCAGGGTGGCCCGAGGAAGCCCCCAGAGGCCCCCAGAATACGCCCAGGAGGCCTCCAGAAGGCTTTAGCAAAGCGTGAAACAACTTCTGTGAGGCCCCCAGAGGCTCTCCAAGGAGGAGTCTCTTCAAAAAAGTGCTGAGGAGGATGGGGAGAATGCGCAGGGTATGGCGAAAATGGGGAAAAACAAGCATGGAGGAATGATAACGAACGAGATTTTTTGTAGCGGCGACGCCAGAAAAGGCAACAAGGAATTATCGCTAAATTGTCGGCTTGGCCTTCCTGCTATCCGCCTGCATGCCAAACTTCAAGGACCAAGGTGCATGGCGCGAAGCGCCACTGCAGTCTTGTATTTATTTATGTATTTTTTTATTTAAGCTATGTATTTATATGTGCGTTTTCACAGCACTGCTTCGGTGGTGTAACGTGAGGGGGCCGCAATGGGGATGTCTCCATCGCCATCGGGGCTCAAAGTGCTGACGGATGCAGACTCTCGTCCAGTACCTCTTCGGAGAATCGCTGCGATCAGCGGGCACCGCGGCGGTCGTGTGGGCGGCTCGGACCGAGTGCCCCGCCTGCGTGTGCAAGCCTGCGCTGAGCTGCGGCGCCGGCGCGCCGATCGCGGCTGCGGAGCCGCCGACCTGGCTGGAGACCATGCTGGGCCACGCCGCCCTGGTGCTGGTCTTCTTGGCGGGAGCGGCCTGCGGCGCGGTAAGCCACTGGTTGGCTAGCCGCCGAGGCTGTGCGCGTCCCGCAGAAACCGCCCACGTGGAGCCATTGAGCCTGGAGGACGAGGCTCGCGAGCAGGCGGCTGTAGCGAAGGCCAGGCGGAGCGCCTCCAGCCAGTGAGGATGGCTCATCCTCTGAGCGCGCTCGGCGTCGTGCCTGGCGACTTCGTCATGATCCGCTACGCGGTCGGCGGCAGGCGCGTACGGCACGAGAGGTTCGTGCTGGCCGTGGCCTCCGCAGCGCCGTGGGGTGTCGGGATCCTCGCTCCCGATGGTGACGCCTACTCGGAGGTGCTGATCGGCGGCGCCGACGTCGCGGCGGTCGCGCTGTGCGCCGGCGGGGCGGCTGGAGGCGCTGCAGCAGGGATCGGAGGCGACGGGGAGTATCGATTCCGCGCGGCGCCTCTCGCGGCGGCCATCGCCGCGGCCCAGCAGGCGGTGGAGGCGGAGCTCGGGCTGCCAGCCGGCGCGGCGGTGCTGCCGAACGTCGGTGGGCGCGCGATCCCGGCGGGCGTTGCCGCGGTTGCTGTGGGGGCCGCCCCGGCGGCTGGCGGCGGCGCGGCGGCTGGGGTTGGCGGCTTGGCGGCGGCTCTTGGCGGGCCTGGAGCTGGCGGAGGCGCGCTGCTGGCACCAGCAGCCAGTGACGGCTTGGCTGCTGGGGTCGGCGGCCTGGCGGCGGCTCTCGGCGCTGGCGGAGTCGGCGGTGGCGGCGCGGCGGTCCCTGGGGCCATCGGCGGGGCCGCCGGCGGCGGCGCGCTCGTGGCCGCACCCGCGGCGGCAGCCGTTCCTGGTGCTGTGCCTCTTCTCGGCGGTGGAGGGCCGGGCGCGCGCCTGGGGCTTTGGCGGCGGCGGCCGCGGGTGCGGCCCCCTTGGCGCCTGCGGCGGATGCTGGGTCAGCGCCTGGCGTGGCCGCGGTCGGCGCGGCGGCGGCTGCTCCGGGAGGCGACCTGAGGATCATGGCCGTGGCCCATGACATCCGTGGGGAGCGGCATCGTGATTTCGGCGACGCCGTGCGTTTGCTCGTGGAGGCCCCGTTCAGCGACTGGCCGATCGGCGGCCCGAGGACGCTGCTGTGGGTGGCGCTCTTCCTCCATCGCGTTGCCGGGTCTCCGATGGCGCGGCACCTGAAGTGGTGCACCGACGGGCAGCTTCACGATGACGAGCCAGGTGTCGCGCACCCTGAGTTCATGTGCAGGTTGACAGAGGTCGGCCTGTGCTACGACCAGTTGCACAGCTCCAACCTGGCTTCGGTGGAGCTCGTGGCGAGGGCCATTCAAACCGCAAGCGAGAGGTATCCGCACCGTTTCGAGAGCGAGACGGACTTCGGCGTGAGCGTGAATCTGATGACGGGCCTCTCGCACGGTCGCCGCCACCCGTGCGCGGCTCCGCTGCTTCGGGATTTCGTCTTGCAGCAGCTGCAGAAGGATGCGGCCGCAGCGAAGGGGCGGCGCAAAGCGCGCGAGGAATGTGCTCTCGCAGCTGGTGGAGCCGATGCTGGACCTGAGAGGCCTCGGAAGCCGAAGCCCAAGAAGCAGGGCGGCGGGCGCGGTGCGTCCGCCGCGGCGTCATGGCGCCATCGCTGCGGAGCGGCCTGGGGGACCGGCAGGCCGTTCAACCAGATGATCATACCGGCTCGGCGGACTTGCACCGCCGTGGAGTCGACCGCCAGCACGACGTCTTTCCGTTGCCGCTTGCGGGGTCAGCACCCTCTCGATATGACGCTGGCGGGCGCCGCTCGCAGAGACGTCAGGCTGCTCATGCTCATCATCGGGCTCGGCTGAACGAGGCCGTTACATCCCTGAATTCACTCTACGGCTGTCGCAGCGAAGTTGGCCTCCCCGTCAACGAGTGCCAGCGCGCCGCCACTGATCACATGAACGCCGCTCTTCATCGGCTGGGGCGACTTCCAGAGAAGCATGGAGAGACGCGTGCTGGCGAGGGCGGCGCCCTCGAGGAGCTCCTCCACGGCGCGTCGGTCTACGGCGACCGCGCGCCCAACGCGTCAGCGCCCTACAACCGATAGCATATCTCGTGGCCTGCTCTAGCTGGACGCCCAGTGGACGTTATTTCCCTCGTGGGCAGCTTGGAGGAGGAGAGTTTAAGGCACTGGCGGATCCATATGCCTAGACCTCAAGAGGAGGCCGCTGAGCTGATGTCGACCGCTTGCCCCCGTGGTGCCGACTGCGATCGGTAGCTCTTTGGCGACCCGCGCTGTTGCGCTGAGTTCCTGGGTAAGCTCCACGCCCGTGGGGTGGTTTCGTATTCGGAGGCGGCGGGCACCAAGGGATCTGCGGGTATGTTTTTCGCCCCCGAGAAGAAACGGAGTCAACGCGTCTTTTTTGATGCGCGCATCGCAAATGTTTCTCCCGGCCGCCTCCAAAGACCAGGCGACCCACAGCGTCTGCTTGGAGCTCGTTGGAGGTGCCTCCGTCAGGTGCCTACATTGCCACCGCCGACCTGGAGTGCGCGTTCTACCACATGCGACCCCCGGCAGGCATGGGGGGCTACTTCGCGCTGCCCGCCATCGACGCGACATTCTTGCTGGGGGCAGGCCTCGCGGAGTTGCCGTTCGCACTTGGCCAGCTGGTCGCCGCCAAGGTGGCGGCGTTGCCGATGGGCTTCTCGCGGGCCCTGCGCCCGTGCCAGGAGGCGTCGGCCACCTGCTTGTTGCGCAGCGGGGCGGGCCCATCCAGCGTCATCGTGGACGGCCAGGTCGGCGCCCAGTTGGGTCGGGGCCGACCCGTAGCCGCTGGGGCCAACGTCGACATCGCGAGCGCAGTCGGCGTCACGCCCGAGGCGGCCAACCGCCTGCTCTACAAGCTGGTCAGTCATCTCAGGCTCGCGGGGCTGGTAGTTCACGAGATCTGCGAGGCGTCCGCCAATGTTGAGTTTCTCGGGCTACAGCTGCATGAGGAGACCTCGCTGACCATCAATGCCCGAGACGTCTGGAGGCTGAGGGCGGAGATCAGCAGCCTGCTGCGGAGTCGCTGGGCGACAGGTTATGCTCTGCGGGCGGTGCTGGGTCGCATCGCGTGGGCCACCATGATCCGCAGAGAGGCGCTCACCACCCTGCATGCGTGCCACGCCTTCGTGGAGACCTTCGGCGGCCGCCTGGGGCGGCTCTGGACTTCGGCGATGCGCGAGCTCGAGCTGGTCCGCAACTTGTTGCCCGTGCCCCAGGTGGACATCACCGCTGGATGGCGCGGCGCTGCCGCGCGCAGCGATGCAGCGCCCCGCGGGCTCGGTGTCATGCGGCGGCGGCTGGCGCCAGGCGACGTGACCGAGCGCGGCCTCTTCTCAGAGCGCTGGCGGTTCAAGGTGGCAGGTGCCGCCTCCGCTCGCGCGAGGTCGCCGGCGGCGGGATCGGCCGTCGAGAGGAGCAGCGTGAAACAACAAGTTGGTGCCATCTCACAGTGGTCGCCCCCGTGCTCGCGTTCTCTCACTCAGTCACGCTGTTGGCGGCGGCGATGGTTTGCAGTCGGTTGCTTCAGCCAGTCAGGTCCTTCAAGCTCCTGAGGTCCCCTCGGCCCCCGCTGGAGTCGTCTCGGACGGCGTCTCGGACGACCGCGCGCTCCCGTGCATGGGCCCCTGCAAGGGCTTCGAGGTCTCAGAGTCGACGGGCAAACCCGCGGATGTCTTGGAGTCAGAGGGCGTCTTGGGCGACTTCAGGGCGAGGTTCGACGAGGCCCCAGCCACTCTCACTTGCAGCGGCCGTTGAGGTCTCGGGTCGCGCTGACATCCTGTACTTGGAGGGAGAGGCCCTATGCTTGGCCTACCGACATCTGTTGCGCGACTCAAGCTGCGCTGGTCGTCGGGTCTTTATTCTGATAGACAATCTGCCCTTAGCTCTTGGAGTGGTCGAGGGAAGAGCTCAGAGCAATCATCTTCGTCGTTGTCTTGGGCGTGTATGTGCACTGTCGATCGCCTCGGGCCCCAAGCTCCACGCGCGGTGGGTCGCCTCGGAGCGGAAACCCGTCCGATGCCGTCAGCCGCGGGCGTCGCGGCTGGTTCAGCGGTTCGCCTGAGCTGGAGAGCCTCCTCCCGAGGCGCGCTGCTGGCCGCTTGCGTGGCGGGCATGCTGATTTGCCAGGGCGCCGACGCAGCGCGCGGCTCGCGGGTGCCGAGCCCTTCAGCAGCCGCTGCTCAGCGAAAGGGGCTGGCGCGCCGGGCAGTGGCGGAGCGGCCGCTCCTGGGAGGCCTCTCCCTGCTCGAGACGCTGGCCGCGCGCTCGAACACCGAGCGGAGCTATCGCCAGCTGCTGCGGACTTTCGTCGACCGGTGCGGCATCCACCGGCAGACTTGAGCAGTTTCGACGAGATCGACTTGATTATGGCTCAGTGCGTCTCGGACCACTACCAGGTGGGCATGGCCTGCAGCATCGGCTCCAAGACGCCGGCAGCAATAGCGCACGTGACGTCATCGATGTTCAGCAGAACGGCGTCGCTCCTCCCCCGGGCCTCGACGGCCTCAGCTGCGTGGCAGCGGAGGGCGCCAGGGAAGCGGAGGGCGCCGGGCTTCCGCGGGCCTCAGAGGGGAAGCGCTTTCGCCGCCAGTTGGCAGCGCGGCGGTAGCCGCCTCTCCGCGCACTGGGGCGGCTCGGGCGCCCGAGGGGCAGCTGAAGGCTGAAGGCTGCGGTCGCCGGGCAGCGCATGCGGCGCGTAGTGCTCGAGCTGTTCGCCGGCTCGGGGCGGCTGACCGAGGCGGTCAAGCGGCGCGGCCACCCCGGGCTGGCGCTTGACCGTCGCCACGGAGCGGCAGAGGACCACCTCTCGAGCGCGTTCAGCTTGACGCCTAGAGGCTGGTTGGCCGCCCGCGTGGCGGACGCGGCGTTGCTCGGCACGCCGCGTGCGACGTGGGGCCAGGCGCTGCGATGCCCGCTGAGGTCGAGAGCCCGGCCGATGGGCAAGAGCGATCTGCTGCTGCATGAGCGCGCCAAGCTCGGGATCGGCAATCGGTTATTCCATTTCAGCTGTGACATCTTTGAGCTCTGTATATCTCTACAAATTCCAGTCTATGTTGAGAACCCGTCGGGGTCTTTGTTGTGGCACGCTCGTCGCATGCGGTCTGTGCTCCAACATGCTCCGTGTCAGGTTAACGTTTCCGATGGCTGTCAAAACGGTGCTTCGCGGCGCAAACGTACTCGTGTAGCTAGTTGGTGTCCGTGAATCATGCTAGTATTTGCAAGATGCGCACTGGCCGTCGAGGGATGTGCTCGAAGAGCCGGCGCCCTCGCATCATTCTCAGCGGCCGCGAGGGCGGGGCCCATCGCACCGCTCTGGCCGCGGCCTGTCCAGCAAAGTTTTGCGCCCGCATGTCTGAAATTATCGAACACTCGATGCTTGCCCCCGTTCATGCCTATCGCCGTAGCATTGTTCTATCGTTTTATCCTGTGCTCCGTGTGTTCCCAGTGCTCGGTAATGTAAGAGAATCTGCTCAGTGTTTTATTTTATCAGCGGCCTGTCGGCCAGTCCCGTCCCTGTTTGGGGTTGTGGGGGATCTCGGCGTGTTCTGTGCATGTCGCCGCGGCGCCCTCTGGCCGTTACCTTTGCCTGGCTCCCGTCCACACATTGCGTCAGGAAAGATCGGCTGCGCCTTAATATGATGGGCTGCGCCCTCTCCGCAACCCCGCTACTTCCGGTCGTCTCGGCGCGCTTTGGATGGCCTCGGAAGTGGAGACGGGCGGTGCGTTTCCACAACATTTTGCGTAGGTGTAACGACGGGGCCGCAATGGGGATGTCTCCATCGCCATCGGGGCTTAAACTGCCCCCACCCGCAGGCCACCCTGATTTGCCCTTTGAACTTCTCCGATGCTCGGGGAGATTTCGGCGCGTTCTGCGTCTGTCGCCGCGGCGCCCTCTGGCTGTTACCTTTGCCTGGCTCCCGTCCACGCATAGCGTCGAGAAAGATCGGTTACGCCTGAATATGATGGGCTGCGCCTTCTCCGCAGCCCCGTTCCTTCCGGTCGCCTCGGCGCGCTTTGGATTGCCCTCGGAAGTGGAGACGGGCTGTATATACATATATATACATATATATATATATATATATATATATATAGCTATAGGTGGGTGTGGTGCTATCTCTGGCGTTCAGTTCTGGCGATGCACTTCACGTTGTGAAATTTATGTCCATGAGTATTTCGCGTGGAGCAACATATGTGACGCAATGTAGGTGTTGCAACCTATGTCGTGCAATCTTTGTGGGTGCAGTCTCTGTCGTGCAATATATTGCTCCGGTCTGTAATTTCCATACCACGTGGAGCATTATTTGTTGTGCTAGTTGTGTGGCGCAGCATATGCTGCGCAATCTGGTCGCAGCAATCTTCGCGCTATATGCTGATCTAGGGACGTTGTTCTAATTGTTGCCCCAATGTTTGCAAGGGACTGTTACACATTAGTGGCTTGTCATAAACGAGTGCGTCCACTACTGTTTGGATGGGATGGTGCGAATTCGCATGAATATTTGAATGATTCGCCAGAACCGCGTGTAACTTGCAGGAGGCGATCCCATGCGGATAACCCCGTGGTGGGTGGGTGGTAGATGCCAATGTACCTTTAGAAACATGGAAAATCAATGTGGCGCAATCCTCCCTGCCGAACATGAAGTTGCCAAGTCCACTGCTCGCGCAATCATCCCACCCACCCACCCGCAACTC